AAAATGGGGAGTTGTAAGCCCCATTGAGAGGAATAGGCAATTACATAGAGAACGACCCGGCCCCCCCCCCTCCACCCTCCTTTCAATTTTGTACATGGATCTCACATGTAACACATAGATATATCAATAAATCAATCAATCAAATTTAAATCTAAAAGGGAACCCAAAGTGGAACCCCCAGACTGCCATCAGACCCACCCAACACACCATCGTGCAGGGGTCCAAAATGTGGGGTCCAAAAATCGTTCTCTAGGAAATTACCAAATAATTTAAAACATGTTAGGGTTCAAATCATCGTGTGAGCACTTAAGATTACAAGAATTGAAAAGTCAACTTATCTTATTCAAGTTTTGAAGAAACTATACCCTTCAAGAAATATCAAGAAAATCAAGGATACAAGGTAACTTCCCTGAGAAGGCCAGTCACCCAATTATGCATCAAAGAAAACCGTGCCAAACACGAAATTTAAAGATCATGTTTATAAAATTGTTGGGTATATTCCTAGAGAACGATTTTTGTCAGTTCTTCTAACCGACATTTTCTCAGATTTAAGCTTAGACTGCCTCAGACGTCGAAAACTAAGAAATTCATGTGGTTCATGAAGTCTGATGTTGACAAATATTACAATACAATATGGTCCAATGAACGCAGAGTCTGCTGTTTGGTGGACCAATCAGAAAGAAGAGATAGAAACGATGTTTTATCAATCGGACTAACGTTCGATTGAACGAACGTTTCTTTCTTAAGAATTTGTTATAAAAACCTTACGCTTAATATAAAGACAGCTGGGTTCTGTTCTAACAAAAATTAATGTAGATATCCGATTATATATAATTTATTACTCGATGAATTATAGTTCAGTTTATGGAGATAATTTCAGATGAATGGCACCCTATAATGGTTTTTTAATTAATATATTTTTATTAAACAAATTCAAATATTCTAATGCCTGAAACAAATAAAAAAAAACTATTCTTGCAAACTTTATCTCAATTCTTCTTTAAACCTTAAAAGAAATTGTATTTTTTTAGGATAGTAATGTCCCCAATAAAATATGTCCAGAAATGTAAATATTCGCGGCATTCGCGCATTCTGGCAGCCTCTATGTTTTTAATTCGATTGATTTTATTTTAAACAGATAAACAGAAACCTAACGATGAACCATGGATTCAAACTGGGATACAAATAATGCCAACTTTTTAGAGATAGCCCAACAGTTTGGATTTAGGTGAGTGGTTATGAACGCAAATATTATCTTTTTTAACAATTTGATATTATTTCAGAGGTATAGAGACGGATAAGTCTTCATTGAAGGTAGATTTTTCGGGCACGTCCTAGTAAACGATTTTTGGGCCCCCCATCCGGTCCCCATCCACCTTTTATTAAATTTTGTACTGACATAATACATTTTCATCAAAATTATTTTTTTTAGTTTTATTCAAGGGTCATGGGTAAGGTTAAGACAATTTCTGGGCCGAGCGCTGCTACTCAGACGGGCTAGGGGCCGAGTGCTTCGGCTGGGACAGGCCAGGGGGCCGGGTGCTGCGGCCACTTCACCATCTTTAATTTTTTTATGAATGGCCGGGATGGTGAAGGGGGGGGGGGAGTTGTAGGAAACAATCTTTTCCTGAACCTCCTTCCCCCTCCTCTCTTCAAGTTTGAACATGACTCCGATTTCAAATGATTTAAACATGGAGATTTAAAATATATATTTTGTATTATCTAATGTGTATGTTTGGTAAATTAAAGATGGTTTGCTAATCAGTATGGGATGGAAAGGACTGATTAAATGGCCGAGTGCGTGGTTAATTTTATGACAGGCTTGGGGACGGGTGCTGCAACCACAAAATTATCAAGGGGGGGTAACCCAGGAGTGTATTTTTTTTTGTCAAAAAGAAATTGTTTTCCGTAAAGTTTTGATGTTTGCGCGGAGTGGTATATTTTTTTCTTGGCTGATTTAGGAAAATAAATTAGTTTATGGGGAAAATTATAAATAATGATGAAAAATTTGCCTTTTGATGACAGTTTTTGTCCCCAGATTATAAAAAATAAATACACATAAATATATATAAATATAAACCCATGGAGTGATCAGAATTGAGTTAGATTGTGTAAAAATTTGAAAATATTCAACACAACTTTTATACAACAATATTACTCGATCTTATGCACTTGTTAAAGTCAACATTCTGGTTAGGCGGGTTCAAACTTCATAGTAAATTGTGATTTGTTATTTGTACTATCTCGTGCTTTGTAGTTGAATAAAAATATGAAATGAAAATAAAACCATTTTAAGAAAAACAGTTTGGGAAGCATTCTGGTAGAAATCTGTAAACTTCAGGTATGTGTTATCTATAGCTATTTTAAAGATTTTTGACCAAACTAGAAGTGTCACAATCCCAATTCACAACAGTACCCTTCAGTTGTCCCTCATTGTTTCTGCTTCCCATAAATATTAAAGTTTTCATTTATGAGAATCCAAAAATGCAATTATGAATTTTATGATGTAAAATCAAGGTATTTTTTTAAATAGGACATTCTACAAATCAGAAATGATATTTGAGAAATAAAAAATATTTACAATGCTCATTTATTATTTAGGAGGAGGTTGGTGCCCTGAAACTTGCAGCTACTCCACACCAGTTCAGTTTACAGTACAGTACAACTAGTCCTGAGTACAGTATTGTCTGTACACCAGGTTCACTAGGACAGCTGACTGACAAGCTAGCCCTGTTGTCTGAAAGGATCTCCGCAATATCAAGGTAAATATGAATTAAAGTTTTTAAAAAAAATATATATTTAAATATTTTTAGGGACTGTGCCAGCATCGAAAATAAACTATCGAATCCAGTTTTAGGTATGACGAAATTTAAAATTACTAGAAATTCAAGGCGCTTCGCGCCCTTCTTTCTAGCCTTAGAGGGCGCTTCGCGCCCATCTCCTAAATTAATTGTGAACATGTTCTCTTTGTGTACATCGTAAAACAAAACAAAAATAATTCGCGGATTTTCACAAAAAATTTCGCGGATTTTCAAAATTTTAAAAAATTTAATGACGATCGAATTTTGATAGAGACAAATATTTGATCAGATATCCCAAGTAAAGGACTGTGGTTCTTTAACCACTCAAATATCCCAAGTAAAGGACTGGTTTTTTATCCACCCAGATATCACAGGTAAAGGACTTGGGTTTTTTATCCACTCAGATATCCCAGGTATAGGACTGGGGTTCTTTATCCACTCAAATATCCAAAGTAAAGGACTGGGGTTTTTATCCACCCAGATAATCCAGGTAAAGGACTGATTATTTTTATCCACTCAGATATCCCAGGTAAAGGACTTGGGTTTTTTATCCACTCAGATATCCCAGGTAAAGGACTGGGATTCTTTATCCACCCAGATATCCCAGGTATAAGACTGGGGTTCTTTATTCTCCCAGTTATCTCAGGTAAAGTACTTGGTTTTTTTACCCTCCCAGTTATCCAAGGTGAAGGACTGAGATCTTTATTCCCCCAGATATCCCAGGTACAGTCGACTAGGGTTCTTAATTTACATAGATAGTTTTGTTTTTCTTTAATCCAGGGTCTCTAAGCAGTAACTATATCCGTATTTTAATGAGTCACTCTTTTTAAATTTAAATTTAGATTTAAATTTCAAAAGTGCCTAGATCTTGCAAATTTTTTAAACATTCAAAATTTTGTAGGTTTCCACAAATCTTGAGTCCTCTGCTGCAAAGATAAGATCTGCCTGTTTTATACTCACACAATTCAGAGAGGAGAAAAGGTTAGCAATCTATCAAATTGATAATTTTAATTCAGTTCAATTCAATTCAATTTAATTCGATTCAAATCAATTCAATTCATTTCAATTTAATTCGATTCAATTCAATTCAATTCAATTCAATTCAATTCAATTCAATTCAATTCAATTCAATTCAGTTAAGTTCAATAGTTCAGTTCCGATTCCAATTACAGTCCCAATTCCATTCAATTCCATCTAATTCCAATCAATTCATCCAATGGTTTTAATTCATCTGAGGGCTGAAGTCATAGGTTTAACGAAATTCAAAAGTTTCTCCCTTAAAGTTCATAATTGCGATACATTTTTGGTAAATAAATGAAGATATCTTGTTTTAATGATTTAAATTCTTTATTTTTCAGTGCCTTCAAAAACTAAGATGGAAAAGCAAGAAGGTTTGGAGAAAGGATTGACTCCTTCTCTAAACCTACCTGAAGAGCGTCCTTACTGCTCTGAGGACTACCTTGAGCAGTTACCAAACAGTCTTCACGTTCTTCTCAATATCCAAGCAGAGACAGTTGAAAACAAGCATTTAGGAATAAAGATAGATTTTTATGTGGTTTTTTTCTTCTTCAAAATAACCCTTGCCTTCGAAGGAGGGAGGAGCATGAAACTTCATATAATTTTTAATGTTTTAACGGTATGTTTTTGCTTCAGGGCATAATTTTATATTCAACCCGATATCAGATTTAAGGGTTCAATCATTTCAGCCGGTTCCAACGTTTAGTATTAATAAAAAAATACGAATGTACATAAATAATGCATAAATAAATACTCCCTTATTTGTTGATCCAAGAAATAAAATCTATATTTATAAGGTTTACTGCTCGTATTGATATGTGAGCACATGCACATATCAACTAATTCTGGAGAAAATAATGCATCCAACTCTTTCGAAAACCCGGAGAATCTCGAATTTACTAAGATCCTTGAGATTGAAGAGAACTCGGAAAATGATCAATCCTCCTGGATGTCCTGGATGTCCTGGTCCAGTTTCTCTCACCATGAACAAGTGTCCAGGATCAAATTGGAACTGGAAACTAATCTTCAAAAGAAATTCTCCACAATTTTGGGTAAAATTACTCAAAATTTTCCTCAATTTACCGCTAACTTTTTTTTAGTTTCTTGCGAAAAACTTTGTTGTAAACCTAACATGGACTTGCTTATTTTCTCCACTAGTTAAAATCTTTATTACCTGAATATTTTAGCAACAGAGTTGTTTTTTCTGTTTAAATAAAAATGTTCGAATCATGTAATTTTTAGAGGAGAATCTGAGTGAGATATTTCAAATCCTCTCTCCACGTTTAGAAACCTGGACCTTTAATCCTGCCGCATGTCACAGGTAAAAAACAAAAACCGCTCTTTGGAAACAGCAACTGGCGAGAGTGCTGCCATTAATTCGTGGGACTCATTTGATTTAACGTAGAATTGGATTCTGGTCTCTGGACCCCACTGTCAAAAATCAAATTTTAATGATGATTGAAAATGTATGTATTGATTTCGCTTTAATATTTCTCCAATGACTAAAAACCAGGCAAACAAAAATTCGGCCTTAAGTTATGCTTTTTACTAATATCATTATGGACCTAGATATGATGCTGTATATGATCCGGATCCTGAGGCCCAATTTTTTGTTTTTCATTGAGATAATTTGATCTAGTGCTTGTGTTGTTTTCTCCGGTCTTGATGGAAAACTTGGTGGAGAACACTTCACCAAAATATTCCCTTATTTACTGAGGTAGAAAATATCTATTTACGTAACTGTCTTGTCTTTCATTCAGGACAATATGTTTTTTTTTGACCGTGATTTTTACTTTTTTGAATTCTAACCGAATACAAACAAAAAAGTAAAAATCACAAGAAAAAACATAATTTTCCAAATGAAAACACAAGAGAGTTGGATATACTTTTTTTTAAAATTAAAGGTACACTTGAATGTTTGTCTACAGCCCCTTTAAGTGACCAAAAACTATTCCAGATGGTTGGATAGTTGGATGGTCTGGCCGCGGTTAATGGGAGTTCATTTCTGTAAATATATTCTAACAGGTTAATATAAATATCTCTATGTAATAAATATCGAGTCACATGATATTCTGTTAACTTGTAGTAAATTGTACATCATTAATTATATGTTTGTAAACTTAACGTAAAAAACCATTATTCATTTGAACTGAGGTGTAAATGAATACGTAGCATTGTTAGCTTAAACCTTTTTTATATGTACATTCAACTTATAAACATGTGTGGAGATAGCTTAACTACATTATATCTATCTTCGCTAATTCTATAAATACGCACATCTTAAATGTGCCTATTTTAACTGTGCTGTAATACGTAACATGATTGCCTTAATCATGTGATATAGATAACGATCAAGGGATTGTAATTACGTCTATTAACTTTAACTTGTAACATATAAACCTCAAATATAGTTAGGTAGAATCAGTACTCCTTTGATTACAATGTAGAAAAATTGTATCCTCGTTTAAATATTCGGGTTGAGATCCTATCTTAATTAAAGGTAGAGATCGATTAAGGGCTTGACCGATAGCCAATGTTTGAGTCCCTGTGTGGCTAAATTTTGAGCCTGAGTAATAGCTTGTTTTATAGTTACGCTTGTATCCTTTTGTGGAATTTAGAGCCGGAGTAATAGCTGGTGTGATAGCTACGCTTGTGTCCTTGTGTGGCATTTAGAGCCGAAGTATTAGCTTGTTTGATAGCTACGCTTTTGTCACAGTTTGGCATTTAGAGCCTAAGTAATAGCTTGTTGGGTAGTTACGCTTGTGTCCCTGTGTGGCATTTAGAGCCTGAGTAATAGCTTGTTTTATAGCTACGCTTGTGTCCCTGTGGGGCATTTAGAGCCTGAGTTATAGCTTGTTTGATAGCTACCAAGATCTCGCCCTGTGTTAGTGGCCTTGATAGTTCACGGGATTGTTGCCTAGTGGATTGTGTCCTGGTTGACTGTGATAGCGAACGGGCTGTACCTTGACTGATACAGTTTGGGGCGAAGTTTTAAGAGTACGGCATTTACTACATATCTATTGTAGGAATTACAAAACAGGATAATGTATTTTCTATATTATACAGGAATACCAAGTAATTATCTCACTAAGTATGGACGGGATAATGTACTCTATATATTATCCAGGAATACCAAGTAGTTATCTCACTAAGTATGGACGGGATAATGTACTCTATATATTATCCAGGAATACCAAGTAGTTATCTTACTAAGTATGGACGGGATAATGTACTCTATGACGCTCTTCTACCAAGTCTTTATACTAAAGATATCGAGGTAAAATTTTACATTACATTGAAGAAACAAAATTGTATTCTAAATATTCTTCTTAGTTTGAAAAACTTAACGATGTATTATATATTTATATACATTCCATTTAATATTATTATCTTTTCCAATTAAAATAAATTTGTACAGAATATTTTTTTTCTTAAACGTATATTTTACATCGGCTTTCTTATCAGATTTATCAACATATTAGTTTTTAACATTATTTTTATAAAGGGGTGTTTAATTACTTCTAAATCATCATCCCCGGCCCCCCTACTTTCTAGAAAATCATTTTTTACCGAAGAAGATAGGGATTTAGGTTTTTAGTTGAATTTAGGAAAACAAATGGATTTCAGAGGAAAATAACTTGCCAATCAGCTTTTTCATTTTTCTTTCCTAAATTGGTCAAAAGCTATTCTTAAAATTATACACCCCAGTTTTTATAATAATCAATTGTTTGTAGGTTCTAGAATCTTCAGTACACCCTCTGATCTATCTTCTCAAACTCTGCTCAAAGGAATATTTATTTTTTTAAAAATTATTCTGGAAAATATGAAACATTACTTTTTTGGTAAAAGAAAAAACTATTCTTCTGTTCCTAATAGAACTAACATATTTCGTGGGACCTGACATGACCCCAGGGCTGCGTAATGTTGACAAAGGAGTAAAATGTAAAATTTAAAAATCACTCTAATCTATAATTATCAAAAATTTGTTCATAATGTATTGAAGAAGTTTCCTCTGAAAAAAAGCAACAATAAAACATTCGAACATCTTTAAAAAGGAGCGCGAACATGATCTATGATCTATGATCTATGATCTATGATCTATGATCTATGATCTATGATCTATGATCTATGTTCTATGATCTATGATGTATGATCTATGATCCATGATCCATGATCCATGATTCATGATCCATGATCCATGATCCATGATCCATGATCCATGATCCATGATCCATGATCCATGATCCATGATCTATGAACATTAAACAACCCTTATAGAAAAATAAATAGGTTGGTTTAAGGATTCTATCCTGTATCCAGCAAAAATAAGTAAAGTTGACCTACTTGTAGAGAAAACTATAGCCTGGTAAATATTATTATAAATTAGGGTGTGGGGTGCACATTGGGGTAATATAAGGGAGTCAGTGCATGGGGAGGGGGTGACTTGTTTTTGTCATAATCTTCCTTTTAAAATGCATATGCTTTGTGATTCATAATGAGAATGGACAATTTTAATGTATTCTGAAATCTTTTCATTTACAAACATTGATCAATTGTATTTTGCATTGATTTATAATGATTTCAATCTATAATTACTTTTCCCGTTCATATATCCTGTAACTCCGAAATATTGCGTACATAGGTTATACAGGAGACGTAAAAAATATTATGTTTTTATGGCTTTTTTTACACGAAATTACAATGTATTTAGGATAATCTAGATATATAAATAGATTTGAATGACCATTAATAAAAGATATGGGAGCGTCGCAAGCTCGCCAAAGTATTTGTTTTGTCTCTGATTCATGTACAAAATACCTAATTTAAGGGTTATCACGGAAATGACCAGTTTCCCGTCAGATTTTAGAACTTTAAGGCAACATTACGGCTTATTTAGAAACTTCTATCAAAAAAAAATCTTTATTGGCAGCCTTATTTGACTTGAATAAGAGGTTTATGGTGTAAACTTAATATTGATGCCCCCCCTGATACCCCACTGTAGGAGGGGGGGAGGCTTACTGCCTGGAAAAAAATCCAAAATCCCCATTTCATTAAAAAAAAATTTAAAACTATTTATTTGAAACTCTATTTTTAGCTATTATTTTTTTTAGGGAGGAAAGGTTTGAGATTTTTCCAACATTTATGTCTCTGAAGAATTTTTCTGTGAAGCATATTTTTGATTATTAATTTTTCTAAAAATTATTTTAGTTTGGATATGGAATCAAATATGAAGAAGAAATTGGTTCTGTCCAAGCTTCTTCAAGGAACTTGGGATTTACTGGGTCCAGCTGAGCTTAGGTAAATTTAGGGTTCACTAGGTCCAGCTGAGCTAATTTAAATATATGGTTTACTAGGTCCAGCTGAACTAAGGTGAATTTAGGGTGTACTAGGTCCAGCTGAGCTAATTTAAATTTAAGGTTTACTAGGTCCAGCTGAGCTACGTTAAATTTTGGTTTTACTAGGTCCAGCTAAACTGAGGTAAATTAAGGGGTTACTTGGTCCAGGTAAATTTAGGGTTCACCAGGTCCAGCTAAACTGAGGTAAATTAAGGGTTTACTAGGTCCAATAGAATTTAGGTAAATTAAGGGTTCACTAGGTCCAGTAGAATTTAGGTGAATTTAGTGGTTACTAGATCTAACTGAACTCTTTGAATTTAGGGTTTTCTAGATCTTGACGGAATTTTGTATTTGATGGTTAAAAAAAAGCTAAAAAATCAAGGCCATGCTAATTTTTATCATAACTTGTTTTTGTTGAGACTTCTAATTGTCTTTAATACTATTTTATTTTATCAGATGGGTTTCCAGGTTGTCTGGCCTCATTCAATCGGAAATACAAGTGTTAGGTAAGTTTTGGATCGATTTTTTAGATAAATATATTTAGTTAAGCTACACTCTTCTCTTTGTATGTAAAGTCTGATATAAATGAATATCTATATGATTAAAATGTGACTAAAAACTTAATTTCAAGTCTGTGATTCACAACGGTACCATTTTTCTCGGTAAATACTATGTGCACTGCAAGCATAAAAATGCTCTAGTGAACAGTGTGGACTGTGGACTCGATGCAAATGATTTCACACATTTCACGAAATTTTAATGCAAATATCTATTTTCAATCAATAAAGATTTTAGGTATACATTTGTACAAATGGAGTGTAACTTGAAATTACGTTTGCAGACAGAAACGGTAACATTTTTAAAACCATTTTATATTTTCTAGGACAGCATTGTTTGGTGCTACTCAATATCTGGCAAGGGATTATTGTGCGGCATCCAGATGCTGCTGCGCGTGAATGCCGCACACTTTTACCCGGTTTAGTAAAAATTGCCTGGAGCTGGTCCCACGGGCAGACGCCGGAGTATTTTAGAGAACAGGTTTATTTATTTCAGGCAATTGCGCCATCGTTGCTTTTTTATTTCATGAAATCTTTATTTTTTATCTGTGGACATATTCTTTTAGTCATAAATGAACTGACAAATTCGCAAACAGGATTTTTATTGGTGGTATTTAGAGTTATATAATTAAATCATGGTTAGTTTGTACAATTCTAGTTTTCATCGAGAAACAGTGATAGTAGGCTTAATGATAATTATATTATTATTAATGATATTGATATTGATATTGATATTGATATTGATATTGATATTGATATTGATATTGATATTGATATTGACATTAATATTGATATTGATATTGATATTGATATTGATATTGATATTGATATTGATATTGATATTGATATTGATATTGATATTGATATTGATATTGATATTGATATTGACATTAATATTGATATTGATATTGATATTGATATTGATATTGATATTGATATTGATATTGATATTGATATTGATATTGATATTCCGGTGGAGGGTCTTCTCAGATACAAAGATTATTTTTTATTATCATAAATATTTTCTCATCTTATCTTTTTTCTTAACTTAGTAATGCACTTTATTCATTTAGTTCACAATCAGCAGTTCATATATATTATGCTATTATTTACTGTTAACTGAATTTTCCACTCAAAAATAAATTTAACTTTTAAAACTTTTCTTTAACTTAAAGCCCGTAATTTGGAGTGACCATTCAACGTTTTGACTGATAACGAATGAATGAGATATCCATTATGTGTCTTTGAAAAAAGGGTTATTTTTAATTGTGGTTTCTCTTTTAATAGTTTCTTGCGGGTGTCTTGGTACAAAAATAGTATAGGCGACTATGAGAATTGAAAACTTTTCATTTTAGAAAAACGATATCTTCTACATTATTAGTCAGATACAGGTTTTAAGAGTATCATTGTGAACAAGGCAAATTTCTTGATGTTTCTAGTCTGAACAGTGGTCAGTTAAGAGTCATCTTGGAACGTATAGCGGCCCAGCGGGGCCTCTTTTTCAGATTTCATTTCCTTATGTTTCATTATCATCCTCCCTTACACTGTTTCCTGACACAGTTTCAGAAAATTATTTTCTCGAGTCCTGTCTTGACATTTCTTGAGTTTTTTAGTTCCGTCGGCAGTACATTCCAAACCGGGTTAACTATTTGTAAAGAACTTTTTCCGTTGATCTGTATTTGATCGATTTGATGGAAGAAGATTGCCTTTATAGGCAGTATTCCTTATTAATCGGGTAACATTTTCTCCAGCAGTATTGAACCATGTAGCTGGGTCAACCTTGTCAACTTTGTCGGGATTTTAAAATCTGAATTAAATCGATAAATAGAAATTACAAAGATATTCCCTTTGATTAATATAAATCATATAAATTAATGAATAATATTAATATGACAACTAAATTTACAAATAATGTTAAAAATCTTAAAATAACTTCTGTAATTTCTAAGTATCTGGAAACCCTACTGTTGTCCCAGTGTAATACTGACACTACTTTATCAAGATCTCTTACTGAGGGTATAACAGGTACATTGTTATAGTTATAGTTATTGTTATTGTTATTGTTATTGTTATTGTTATTGTTATTGTTATTGTTATTGTTATTGTTATTGTTATTGTTATTGTTATTTTTATTGCAGTTGTTGATATTGTTATTATTATTTGATGAGGCGGAACTGGTCGATTCCTGTTCCTTGTTATTCCATACTCCTTGCTTAAAACCTATGCAGACAAAGAAAAGGGGCTGGAGCTAGACCCTAACCCAGGATTACTGACTTTATGTTAAATTGTTAAATGTTAAAAATAATGATTAAAACGATAATTATGTTTAGACCTGAACGTGAACCCTAAGTTTAACAATATGATGAAGACAGTTTTGAACCAGATGAACAATTAGACCTTGAGGTCTTTTTTCCTGTGAAAATTCAATCCAGTTAATTTTAATAAATATTTTTTATATTTTCAGATGAATTGATTTTAAAAATGTCGGAGTCCACGGTGGGGACACAGAGCCCGCTAGTAGCGGGGGACGGTATCCAGCTCCGTAACCTTACCATTTCAGGGATAATACTAATATTAAGTTATAATCTCTGTTTGTTTTTTGTATGTCCGATCATAACTCAGAAATCCCTTGAGTGAATTGTCTCAAACTTTGATTGGGTAACTCGAGAGAACAACGGGAATGTTCTTAGCTTGGTTTAGAGATTCTGAATTGAGTGGGTCCACTTCAGAAAATAGCCCAAGTCGCAATATACGACCAAGAGGGGTAGACGGCGGGAGAAACCTCGGGTACTCTGGACGCTTGGTTTTCTAGCTAGTAATAATATACTATAACTAATCTTTAAAGGGACTTGTGACGTGATTTCGAATGACTTGCAACGATATTCATTAAAGCTTTCTCTTTAAAAGTGACTTGTGGATTTTTTGCTGCTGGAACCAATACATAAATAATCAGAATTGGCTTGGCATACTACTTTTTAAATGGAGGGTCCCGTTCTGAATCCTCATATGGACACTTTGTGTAACCATTTTGGATATTTTCCTAGGGTTAAAAATTAAGTTTGTATGCAGATGGGCCAACAAAGTAAACCATTATAGCTTCCTCGAATTCTCATATTATTTATATTTAACTGCAGGTCCTTCACACAATTTTGCTCAAGCAATGGTTTAAAACATAATGTTGTAAATGTTGCCATGGAACTTCTAAACTCGGCTCAGTTACATTTGCCATAATACTTCTGCCATAATTACACTTCCCATGAATACTTCTGTCATACGTAACACTTGCCATAATTGCTTTAGTCATAATTTTCCAACTTTTACAAAGATGTAAATCTAACTATTTTTTTCTATAAATGCGACAAATTTTCTCATAAACTCCCAACTTTAGTTTTCTTACAATGCTGACGGGAGAGATATGAACACTATAAAAGAGCTTGTTGAAGAATCAATGACAATACAATACTTTTCCAATAGAGCAGTAACTTAACCTTATATACTGCTCATGAGCTGACCCTCGTTTAGATTTGTTAATTGTAGTCATAAAAGTTATGATTTTAGTTGTTCAATAAGAAAATGTATGTATGTATAACTATTATTATTTGTAATTATGGCAAGTGTAACTTATGGCAAGTGTTACTAATGACAAGTGTAATTATGCCAAATGTAACTGAGCCCTAAACTACAGTCCGTATATATTTATCAATACAATGAAGACGACTTAAGATTTAAATTTTTAAGACTTAAGATTTCTACCAAACTTTCAAACAGCATGGATGCACATAAACAGGGAAACAAAGAGAAGCTCTCAATTTAAATCTTCTCTTTGTTTACTTGTAAATAAACTTGTAATTTGAAAAACGCTTGTTAGAGATAAACACTTTAAAAGGAAAAGTCGTCTTCATTGTATTGATATAAACGCCGAACACTGTAATACAAGTGAGACTTGCTTGAAATTACGTTAACAGTCCCTTTAAGTTAGTTCGGTCGTCTAATAGATCAGTATTTTGGTTCCAGGTTTCTTCAATATTGCTAGCTATGAGATCAAGGAGTTTAACAAGGATATTGTCGGAGACTTCAACAAATTAGGAAAATATTAACACCACTTTCAATTCCAGCAATTTTACAAGCAAACTTTTCTGATTAACCAACACATTCATTTCCAGCAATTTTACAAGCAAACTTTCATCTTTAACCCAAACAATTTTACGAATAAGCTTTCATTATTAATAATTGAAACGTTGTTAGCAGTACAAAAGAAAATATTTTAAGTATCTTTTCTGAAAAGGATCTAGCTTATATAATTTTAAAAATCCTTTAAACATTTTTTAGCAGGGTGTTGCGAATATTTCATGCCAATAATTTGATAAGGACCCTTTTAACTATAACGCTGTTATCCTTAGAGGAGTTATTTTTTGTATTTTTATAAGATCAAAAAAATTACTTAAATGAAAAAAATTTTTATTTTTCTATTGCCACAAATAATTGACACACATAAATTATAATAAAAAAAAACTAAGAAGTTAACTTTATAATAATCCACATTTTTTTGTTCTTACGACACAATTTTTAAAGGGGGGGGGGCACAAAACGTATTACTCTCCGGAAAATTTAAACAGTGGTTAAACATAACTTAAATAATTGACACACATAAATTATAATAAAAAAAAACTAAGAAGTTAACTTTATAATAATCCACATTTTTTTGTTCTTACGACACAATTTTTAAATTTGAAAGTGAGGTTTTGATTTTGTTTCCAGATTTTTTGCCTCCCATTCCCCAAGAGACAAACTTTGCTTTCTTCCTTGCTTCACTCTTTCTGGCGATGATATGGGTAATTTTTTTAATTGAAATAAAGCCGTAATCTTTTTTTTGATGTTTTGTTTGTTTCTTTTATTTGAAAGGAAGTATTTTGGAAAAATAAGAGAGATCTGGTATTAGAAGAACTTAAAGTAAAATTTTTAATTAATCTTTTGTACTTTGATTTTTATCGGATGTTTCTGTCTCGAAACCCGCCCATCACCATCACTGTCAACTTTTCAAGTGCGCAGGGCTTGCCGCGTAGGCCGTATGAAGCATTGGTTATTGGGGCATAGTATGTTACATTGTTACACATCCGGACCGGTTTCAAATTAGATACAGAACTTTGGAAACATCGAAATAAAATGTCGTTTCCTAAACCTACTGGTAATGAAATGCTGCGGATGTTTAGGTTTTTAATTGAATAATTATATGGAGCTTTCAAAAATGATCCTGCATATTTCATGGCTATTTATTTATTTTTACTATTCCTGGGATTTAGGTAAAATAGTATAAAAACCATGGAAAAATTGTAAAGACGACATGTTATAAATTCTGTCGACGCTCCCGGAGTTGGGTTCAAACCATAGCTAAATAGAAAAATTGGTCATTTTAATTTTAATGATTTTTTGCTGATTGGTTGATTGATTGATTGATTGATTGATTGATTGATTGATTGATTGATTGATTAATTGTTTATTAAGATCACTTATATAACCTTCTTTAACTCCCGTGTGGTTGGTTCCATGTTTACCAGTCTTATTAACAAGTTTGTTCAAGTAGGATACGTCAAGGTAATTCATTAATTTATTAATTTATGCGTTCATTCGTTTACTCGTTTTGTTCATTCATTCTTTCATTCGTTCAACCTTTCATCCCTTCATTCTTTCATCCATTCGTTCATGTATTATTTTTTCATTCGTTTATCCTTTGATCGTTTCATCCTTTCAGCATTTGATCCTTTGATCCTTTCAGCATTTGATGCTCTCATCCTTTCATTCTTGCAATCTTTCATCCTTTCATTCTCAAAATTTCGTTAAATATACAACCACGAATATTCCCTTTATTTAGATTGGTTCCCTCAGTTTCTCAGTGATGGCGGGTAAAGTGATGTTTCGAGATTTTGCGTACATTACTCCGGACTGGTCAGTCAGAGCACTAGATGGATATATTATATTCAGGTTAGTGATCAGAAATCAAAACTTTTTAATTAGATGGAGTTCAGCTTTATGACTTGAACCAAAACATTGGCCAAATTCACAAGCTTTTGACTTAGATGGATTCATATAAGATTTGGAATTTAAAATACATGATTAGAACACACATATGTCTTTAGGGCTATTTTTCCCTACAAGGGACCAGATTAAATGAATGCAAGATGTAGTTGAACTACTAGACTAAATTTAACCACTTTTTTTCAGGTTGACCCGGTGCATTAAGGCAGTGGTTCAACTACGTTCAACTACATTCAATACCTTTTAATTATTTCGAATATTGATTATTTCTTATTTTAGATGGTGGCGAGCTTACGTACCTAAAAATGTTTCCGAAGATCTCTCGCATTCAGATACCAGGTGAACATTTTTACTTAAGTCTTTTTGTCCCATAAACGGAAGAAGTTTTTTTTATGCTGTGCCTACTTCATTTTCAAAGATAAATCAGTCAAAAAAGACTAAAAGCAGACGACAATTATTTTGCTTTATATTGTTTAGCTTTGGAGACATCTTTTGTGGTGAGATTACTGTACAATTGTATAGGGTTGAAATGCATTTGTACAACAGGGAGGGATTTAACTGTACCTGTAATCTATTGTATAGGTAATCTGTAAAACTGTACGGTTTTGTGCCGCACGTGAACAAAAGATCTCAGCTGTTCATGTTTTTCTGTTGATTAGGTTATCTGTACAATTGTACGGTTTTGAGCCGCACTTGTAAACAACATATCTCACCTGTACAATGTACATACACGTTTGACAGTTTTTTGTTTAAGGTTGTCGGTACAATTGTACGGTTTTGAGCTGCATGTGTACAACAGATCTCATCTGTACAAGGATCTAGAGGAAAAGTTCGGTTTGGAACCTGGCATTCTGCCTCGACAAGAATCTACAGTTGTACAGGTATGTGACAAAGTGACTTGGGTGTCGAACATTAAAAAAATTTAAATTGCGATGAAAATGGAACGATGAGAAGATGCCATCGCTCTAATCTCAAGACGAGAAAAATAATGACGCTACATTTTACTAAACAAAATTAAATTAATTGTTTCAATATTAAAAAGAAAGAGAAAATACATAAATAAAGATTTTAGCGAGTATATTCTAGACAAAATATAAATATTCTAGGATAAGAAGGGAGACCTAGATATGGATTCTAGCGAGTATATTCTAAACAAAATATAAATATTCTAGGATAGGAAGGAAGATCTAGATATGGATTCTAGTGAGTATATTCTAGGCAAAATATTAATATTCTAGGATAAGAAGGAACTCAGAGAAAGATCTAGATATGGATTTTAGTGAGTATATTCTAGGCAAAATATAAATATTCTAGGATAAGAAGGAAGACCTAGATATGGATTCTAGCGAGTATATTCTAGGCAAAAACTGGAGAGACCTTATCCCTGTTATCAAGGTAGTATACACTATACAGTGCACACAAGTTTTAATCCAACGATAGTGAGTGGGGGAGGGGGTTTGTTTTTGTTAAATATGAGTTTTATTGAGTTTGTATGGAGTTTTATTTTGTTAGGATAGAGTTTTTATTGAGGTTTTATGGAGTTTTATTGAGTTTGTATGAAGTTTTTTTTGAGTTCGTATGGAAAGATATTGAGTTTGTATGTAGTTTATTGAGTTTGTATTTAGTTTAATTGAGTTTTTATGAAGTTTTATTGAGTTCGTTTGAAGTATTTTGAGTTGCTTAGAACCTAGAGCATGGCTCTACAACATTGAGTTAGTATGTAGTTTTATTGAGTTTGTATTTATTTTTATTGAGTTTGTATTTAGTTTTACTGAGTAATGAAGTTTTATTGAGTCTGGATGGAGTTTTATTGAGAATGTATTTAGTTTTATTGAGATTGTATGTAGTTTTATTGAGTTTGGATGGATTATTTTTGATTTTACATGAAGTTTTATTGTTTTTTTTTAGTTTCATTAAGTTTGTATGGAGTTTTATTGAGTTTGTATTGAGTTCTATTGAGTTCTATTGAGTTTGGCTGGAATATAATTGAGTTTATTGATTTTGAATCGAATTTCATTAAATTTGGATGGAATTTGAAAGAGTTTTAAAAGGAATACTTTTATATGTTCAGATGATTATTTAAAACAAAGATTGAAGAACCAAATAATTGCGATATGATTTTTTTCAGGTTGATATTTCCACTGGAAAACTAATATTTGGAAACCGTCTTCTTCCAACAACATTATTGGTAGGTTACATATCATGTATATTTATTATATACAGAGTGTCCCAATAAACATGGAAATTGATGAAGATATTAGACATTAAGACAATTATGATCTATTGAAAAAATGGAATTTGTACAAATTTTGAAAGATACAAAAATATTAGACCACATTTTGGAAATCTGAAGACCATGCGTTTTCGATATTAGATGTTTAAGCTGGAATTCTGCATTAATTGTGAAAAATGCGACATGGATTGGAGACTAAATAAAAATCGTCACTGAATTCCCATTTTTATTGGGACACCCTGTAGCATATTTATATTATACAGCGTGTCCCACATCGTTTTGATTAATGTTAAAATTTTAAGGATATATCTGATATCAGAATAAAGTTTATGACTTGCATTTATATGGCCGATTCAGGAGTCGTCTTTGCTTTTTAAAGGCTCCTGAGGTAATTGATAAGGAAATTTATCTTTTAAAAGTCAAAGTTGGGATTCAAAATTGAAAAACTGGGTTTAAATTGTCATTTTTGTTTAATACTTGGTGAAACTTTTCATCAACGTTTATTTATTTTCCCTGAATAAGCGATACAAAACCCTTTATATTTTGAATTTGTTTTGATGTTTGTCTTGATCTTAAAGGTTTCTGTAGAAGAGTCGCACTTGACCTATTCCACTAAGCCGGCCAACACAAACCTGGATCATTTCATGCATTTTATTAAATGCAACGCTGAGAACATCAAGGTAACCCCCAGTCCCACCACTATTACTTCTATTTTATTTAACTATAATTGTTATCCATTTTATCTTGATTATTTTTTAAATCAGTTGAAATTATATGTATCTATATAAAAAGTATTCATTTTTTTTTCTTCATTAAATCAAATCTCTAATAATTTTCCTATTTTCTAGTAGAGCTAAAAATACGTATTCCTGGTAAAGAATATTAAATTTTGATATTTAATTGCATTACATTATTGATAATTCTAGTAAGAGTACTTTAATTTGATGTACTGAGATATAAAATAATAATCTAAAGTGACTCTCCAGTTTTATTAATTAATTCACAAGGGTACCCTTAAAGGATTGTATATTGTATAATCAAAAATAAATGAGATAGCCATGTTTATTGTTTATCTTTAAAACTTTTCACTTGCGTATTTCTTCTACAGATTCAGTTGGAGGAAATTATCAGAATTTAATACTTTTTTATGTTAAGAAAACGACAATGTCTCCACATAATTTATCAGATAAAGGTTTAAAAACTAATATTTTGTGATTCCACCATGCGCCTTTTTATAAATGAAAGGTTACCAGAAAATACAACGGCAGCATTTGTGTAGGTTATACTGGCCGAAAGTCCTAAATACACAGGCTTACGGTCTCATGATGAAGCTCCGAGGAATATGGGGGATGGATTTGTAATATTAGCCAGTAATCTGGTTCATCTTTACTACTACATGGATGAGGTAAAGTTGATTTTCTCCAATTTTTGAATTTCTTTTTCTTCTTTTTCGTGCCTGACATTGTTAATACAAATTTATACGTTAATTCTTAGCTTGACGAGCTTAACTCCATTGCATAGTACAAGAAAGATTATAGATTATAAGTCAGGGAGGGGGAAAAAATACTACTTCAATGTGTGCAGTGTACACACTGTATCAATAAAAATAGTATCGCCCCCCACCCGGATTTTACTAAAGTGGGGGTAATAGATTGCTGTCTCTCTCCTAGATCTTTTGCTCAAATCTATCATTTCAAATCTGTATTATCCCTAACATCCGTGAATTGTTAAGCCTGGCGTGGTCCCTGAACATGTGGAGTTGTTAACCCTACCATCTGGGGAAATGGTAGAACCTGCCCAACCCTCCTGGGGTCTAGATATCAAGTGTGGCAAGGGAACTGATATCAGCTATGGACCTTGGGCTGACAGGTTTTTTTTTTAATTAAAAAGATTATTTTCCGATGTAAAAGTTTTCAAAATATTTCAATTTTTAAGTTCATGGACATGTTTAAGACAAATAAGCGAATCTAAAAGTAAGAATCATGGCTCTGCTGCAAATTGAAGTCATTGGACTTATACATATAGTCGCTTCTAGTCTCCGTATATAGATTTTTTATTTAAGAAGATTTTAAGTCGTTACATTTTTTCGTTTCTGTTTTGAAAATCTGTAAATTTTTAGGCAACGAGAATTTCTGTATAAATTTTTCTTTCCTCCAGACTACCAACCCTTAAAGGTAAATCTAATAATTTTTTTTCGGTTTGTTGATTGATTGGCTTATGGGCTGATTGATTTATTGGAATGAGTCCATTGATGAAAATTATTTATTGATTAAATTGATGTGTGGATGAACAACGCATTGATTGATTGTTTGGTTGATTTATGTATTGACTGATTGTCGTATATTGATTGATTATTGTATTGATTGTTTGAGGTATTGACTTATTAACGTAAAGACTGATATATATATTGATTAATTGATGTATTGGTTGATTGATTTATTTATTGATTTATTTATTGATTTATTTATTGATCGATTGATTTATTGGTTAATTGATTATGTAGGCTACCCCTAAACCTATACCTGGAGATAAGCGTGCTGCTAAGAGGTTTGATATCCGGTTGTCTACTCTCCACGAGGCGACTATTGATATTCTTTTCTCGAAGGACAAGGAGACCAAAGCTATACACATGAACATTGCTCAGGTTGGTGGCAATAGAAATAGTTAATACATTATAATTAGGCAGTCTGCAGTCTGTTTGTTTGTTTGTTGGTTGGTCTGTTGGTTTGTTTGTGTCCAATAAACGTCAAAACGGCTGAACTGTATCCAAGACCAATTTAATTATTAATACTGAGGAAAAGTTCGTAATTTTGTTGTGATTTTAAATTACTTATGTATAATCATTGCACCATAATGTTTCATGAATTATTTGGTTTTAATGCATATTTATTAATAATTGTACTTTACTAACTAAAAAATGATTTTAATGTTAATTTTAACGAAACATAGTTCGGGTTAAAGCTTAATAGATTTAAGTGCTTCTTATTTATTCTGCTTAATTACTAGTTTCCAGTCGAAACTAGAAACTTCTAAAGTACGAACAATATCAATTAAAGAAAACAACAATATAACTTAAATACAGGGAGATATTTACAGCTGTGCAGAAAAGATCTGAAACTGTACAGCAGTTGTACAGTGTACATAGACTCATTTAATTTTTTGGGCTACTGGTAAACTATTTGTTTACGAAATGTCGTCTTCCTTTTCCACGGTTTAATGGGTCCATCTGTAAATTTTTTTGTAAAATCAAAAAAAAAACTTTGTTTAGGGAAGTTATTTTGAAATGACAATTCCGTGGTATATAGAAAACAGCAGTGGATACTCTACAAGGTAATTTCATTCTTTTTGAAAAGAAATTAAAGGCAGTAAATCATGGAAATAAAAAAATTATTGTCTTTATTGTTTCATAGCTTAATACTGCATGCAGGAAACAGTGGAGGAATTATCAGAATTAAACACTTGTCAAAATAGCAACTTGACGTTATCTTTCACATTAATGAGAAACGTTGTGAATCGGGCATACCCCTCTTTTTTAATGGATGGTCGTTTGAAATTACATTAAAAGTCCCTTTAAGCGTAGTTTTGAAATATTATGTTTCTTTTTAGATTGAATGGAAATTTGATGAAACCAGAAGGAACAACATCCCTTGCATACAGGTAGCGTTGCAAGGGCGTACTCAGGATTTAGTTCAAAGGGGGGCAGCTTAAATGTTTTTATTTCCAATGGAGACTTAAAATCCGTTGGGGCCTAAAACCCCCCTGTATACATAGATTTTACTGCCCCAGGTTGGGGGTTGAACTCCCTTATCACCCCCCCCCCTGAATATGTCTCTAAGCGTAGGCCGGCTTGCTATTTTGTGTTGACTGTTGAAGCAAATCTTAGAACTAAAAATATTTTTTTTTCTACAGAGCGTCCCATATCATATTAGATTAGATTATCTCCAAACTTTACGGCCAATATGCGCACATAATACCTAGTATTTACTGCATGAATTTATATAAGCAACATACAATTTTTTAGACTGATTTGTTCTTCTTAAATTTTCTGATTAGCCCCGGAAATCGCAGTTCAAAGCTATAACACGATCCAATATGATGTGGGACACCTTGTATATTTAACATTAATACTTTTTTCTCTGTATTTTATTAATACCTTTTCTACGTTTGGATAAATTGAATTGATGAATATGTTGATAAATTCAATTACATTGAGAACCAAAACTTCAAAATGTATTTTGTAATGTATTTTGTTACAAAGAATTTACTATTAGCTTAAGTCTAATGGTCTGTGCATTATGTTCATCGGATTTTTTAAAACTTTATCTTTTGTCTAAAGTCATCTTCCTTTTCCACAGTTTTCTGGTTCTCATTGTGTGAAAATACCACAAATGTTATGGTTTTTGCTTTTCAAAATTATTTAGTTTGATTTGAAATTATTTTTAGGGACTTGATTTTGTGTGAAACCTTGGAGTTCCAAATAGACATGTTCTATCCTCAATATTGGAACAGTCACCAGGTATTCATCTATCACGTGACCTTTAAAGGGATCACGTGACCTTTTAGAGTTGTATGCCCATATCACACAATATTTAATTGTGGTTCCTCTCTCAGAGACAAGAAAGGAAATAGATATAATTCAACACTATTTAAGATAAAAAGAACTCTGTACTATTTACTAAATAAATGTTCTAAATCGTTTATGCAAATCTTACTAATAAGTGGGCACTACAAAATACGTTTAATTTCATTTTTAATTTTCAATTGTTTTCAGTGATTTTATTTTACTTTATAAAAACTATAGTTTTCTATTTTATTAATTTTATTATTAACTGGTTCTATGTTTTAAAGGAATGGAATTTCACGTTTACCGCCAGCAAAGCTACACTCAATTTTGTCTTTGTTCATAAATGGTTCTTTCAGGTAAAAACCGGATATTTTTTATTAAAAACAAATAAAAAAATATGATGTTAAATGAAAAAAAAAACTAAATTGGAGGATATATATATATATGTTAATTATATATTGGATGAAAAAGTATGTAATTATCAATCAATAACTTTATTGATTTAAGATAGGGATTTAAAAAAAATATTTATTAGAAAAAGATATTGAAAACAGAAAATAATTACTTGTGGATGGATTATTGAATAGAAAAAATATTAATAATAATGTGCTTTGTTAGTATGGTAAGAATAAAAAATTTATATTGAAAATTTTTTTTCATGAAAAAATTGTGTTTTATAAACTTTTTAGCTATATTGGAAATTTTAAGAATTAGAAGAGATTTAAGAAATTAGTTTTCATCATGAAATTCAAGGAGTGAGAGGGGGTGGTTAGTACTTT